GGCCTGGTTTGTTCTTTAAAACTTCACTTTTGTTTTAGTTCAATTTCATTTCCAAAAGTTGTCTGCTACATATAATTTTACTAATGTATTTATATTAGACTCAATCTAATGTCATTTTAAACAAAAACCTCCTTTGTCTTTTAATTGGTATAATATTTTTTAGAAGTATTTATTGTTTCCTAGAACTCAGTTATTTAAAAAATAACTGGCTTTATTCACAAACCAACTTCTTCAAATTATTCATTTAAAATTATTTATTTACATAGTTAAAACTTCCTAAGAACCCCCTCGTCTGTTTTGGAGAATTAATGGTGTGTGTGTGTGTGTGTGTGTGTGTGTTTGAACAAACATGCTAACTTTCCCAAATGAAGTTTCTCATGTTTCTGGTTAAAAGCTTTTTTTAAAAATGAATTACTTATCCATTTTGTTAAAATTCACAACCTTTTCATGATTAATCAATCAGTGGTCTTTGAACAAACATGCTAACTTTCCCAAATGAAGTTTCTCATGTTTCTGGTTAAAAGCTTTTTTAAAAAATGAATTACTTATCCATTTTGTTAAAATTCACAACCTTTTCATGATTAATCAATCAGTGGTCTTTTTTTCCCTGACATTAATTCAGTATTCTGTAATCTATTAATTTTCCCCAGGAAGCTTATACTACAATTCATCTTGTTTTTTACATGCATTCAAACTACTCTTTACATTTTTATTTAGTTGTTTAATGGTCTTCAAGAAACACAAATTGAATGTTTTTATGACTTATTTTCCTCTTTATTTTTTTCATTGTGGAAAATTTTAAACATTAACAGAAGTCTAGGAAAGGGATGGAGCAATTTACTGCCTTGTACCTATCATCCACCTGTAGCAATTACTAACACATGGTCAGTCTTGCTATATTTTGGTATGTTTGCTTTCATTGGCTTTTAATCCTTGTATTTCCTTAAAATACTCTAGCTTTATCTCCCATTGTTTTTAACATTTTACCCTATTTTTCCTGTACAATACTGACAATGTTTCTCAGTTACTTTGAATTTATTTTTAGTGGTACCTGATCTGTCTTGTTTTATCTTCTCAGGCATCATCCATACTTCATGATGAACATTTGCACGGGTAATTCAGGTACTCTTACACTTTGTTACACGTGTCAGCAACAAAGTGTTTTTGATTCAGGCCTACCTGGATTCTGAATAGGGGGAAAACTGGTTAAACTAGTTTGATTGACTTAGGAAATGAAACTAAAAATAGTACATATTTCACGTTCAGTGAAGGTTGAAACTGACAATTTAAAATTTCTTAACAATGGCTAAACCATCTAATCTATTCCTTTGTGTTTTCTCCTTCTATAAGAGAAACATTGAAGCAAAGAGTCAATATATCCTTGACTGTGGGAGAGTGGTTGGCTTCTTTCACTTTTCCAAGTTCTCATTTTCTTATTCATTCAGTGTTCATAATAGTCTGGGGATATTAGAAATTTATTAAAAAGGTGACGTATCTCAGTACATCATAGGCCATCGGTTAATACATTTTCTACGATAATATACTCAATAACATTAATGGTGCAATATGGGTTACTTTATGTAATATAAAAGTTCAAGCAAATTTAAGAGTATTATATCTAGGCTTTGGGTTTGGGTTACAGTTAGGGATAAGGCTAGGGCTAGGGTTCAGGTTTGGGTTAGACAAGATTTGGGTTTGGTTTTGGGTTAGGGTTAGGGCCAGGGCTAAGGCTAGGAATAGGGTCAGGCTATGGTCAGGGCCAGGATAAAGGTTAGGGTTAGGGTCAGGGATAAGGGGTCAAGGATCTCCCCACGTGCCGCCCGGCACCGGCTCTGGGGTAGAACATGGTGCAGGATGGAGGTCTGGTCAAGGCCCTGAGGACAACACGTCACTGCTCCAGCTCCGACAGATGCAGAGACGTTCAAAATGGATTCTGTCTGCTTTGTCGTCATTGCTCATTGGGCATAAAAACTGAACTGATTAAAGACCAAGACAGGAGTGGAGCTGGACTGGCTTGTGCATGAGTCACAATATGCCTAAAAGCTCTTGGGGGTTTTCTTTGTTATGAAACCTGAGTTAGGAATGTGGGAACAAAGGCAGGGTGTTTATGCTGAGTTGCTGGGTCTGAGGGACACTCCAGCAAGGTGGGCAGAGCTGTTCATGTTGCATTCATGTCAGTTTCATGGATCTTGGTCTGACTTTCTGGTCATTTTAGGTTTTGTAAGTTCCCATATAGCTTTTGCAAATCCCTTTTTTCATGGGTAAGTCTCTGTATTTTATCTGCTCCCCTGCCCCTAACCTGCCGAACAGGGCTCCTCCGGCCTTCCCTGGGCACTCAGGCTGCTCTCTACCTTGTGAGCCCATTTTCCAATCCATAAAGACAAGATTGTGGCCAACTGTGATTACAGGGTGGTCTGAGCTCATGGCAGACCTTCAGGGCTAGAGCTCCACTCCCCAGCACACCCTATATGTGGCCCCCAGTGACTCTTCAGGGTGGTCTGGGGCCACGATGGCACCAGGTCTGTATAGTCACAAGAGCAGCCACAGACCCTGGGACCCTCATCCGCTATCCTCCAGCTCCAGGAACGGGGCTGTGGCTCAGTGGGAAAGGTAGGCTTTCTTCCTGCTACACTGTTTTGATGCTGTCCGTGAGTTCTCCGACCCGGGGCTCTCTGCAGAAGCAGGACCGTTGATCTCCACAGCCTCCCCGGCCACCCACCCCAGGTGCTCAGCGAGCTTTTCCTCATTGGCTTATCTTCAATGGATGTTTCCTGAGAGCCTAGAGCATTCAGGGCTCCCCCACGCTGGAGATGGGGTCCCCTGAAGACAGGGTAGATGCAGGGCCATCATGAGCTGGGATTTCATGAGGGAATCACAGATCCATCCACATCCTTCCTATGAACAGCTGATGGAAAAAGAGACTCGGCAGGGGCTGAGGCCACAGGCAGGAGGTAGAGGCCTCAGGACCCCAGCCTCCACCCCACCTGCTCCCTCGCCCTGTGCCATCTTGGCACCCAGAAGCCCCTGAAGGTGCTGCTGTGCCACAGACCCTGCTGGAAGTGGGTGACCCACAGGAGGTCCACAGGCCAGGGGCTGGAGCCATGCCACCCAGGCCCTGCCCTGCAGCTGCCCCTGTCCCCAGTATCAACATTCCTGACAACGAGCAGGCCCTGGAGCCCTGCCCCTGCCCGGCAGCTGCCCCTGTCCCCAGTGCCAACATTCTTGCCCACACAACGGGCAGGCCCTGGAGCCCTGCTGACACTCTGCACACACCCAGCAAAGGCTTCCTCCATCTCTAGGTGAGCCCGCAGCCCCCCTGAGGTAAAGACCCCTCCCTGGGATAAGACAGGACTAGATGGTTGCTTTATTACTCTCTCCTTCTTCGTCCCCTCGATGTTGCCTCAAATTCACCCATCGTCACCCTGGGCCAGATCCACAGACTGGGCCTCTACCCCTTAGGAGGCCATGGTGCCAACACAGCAGATGCCACTGAAAGCTCCAGAGCCCATCTGAGCTGGTTGGATAGGTCAGAGCATGAAGGAGGCCAGCCAAGTTGGTGAGTGGACAGGAGGCCTGCAGACATGGAGGGGCTGGGAGCGGCAGGTGGGTGTAGTCAGCACACAGGGTTAGGAAACATCCTGCTGTGCTGCGTCTTCAGTTTCTTTGTCAGTGGACATATGATGGACAGAGGAATTAATAAAGTCCTTTCATTCACACAGACACCTACTGATCTCTCGGTTCCTTGCTGATACTGGGTGTAAAGTTTTCATGCCTTAGGTGACCTCAGGTACAAATGAACACATATACCCTTCAGTATGTTTTAGATCTTCTTAGTTACTTGCAAGATACCAAAGAGTGCATCCTGTGCATGTGTATGCATGCATCTGCATACATGTGCACGTACAATCATGTATGTGTACGGCATGTGCAATCATGAGTATGTACATATGCATGAGGGTGTGCAGTGTGTGGTGTATGCAATCATGTGTGGTTGTGTAATGATGTGTGTGCACGTGTGTGCATTGTATGGTGCGTGCAATCATGTGCGTATGCACATGTTCATGCAAGTGTGCATGCAGATGTGTATGTGAGGAATGTGTAATCATGCATGTGTACGTGTGCATGCAGGTTACATGTGTGTGCATGTGCGTATGCACGTGCGCATGTGCTCCACTCCATAACCCTAGGAAATGGGCTTGAACAGGTGCAGGTAACTTATAAAAGTTCGTGTTTACATTTAAGGAAATCAATACTTGGGGGAACCTGACTTTTTTGAAAACTTTCATAAGCCTTATTGATTAGAGGTTTTTTGAATCAAAACGTTATTTCTAGTGTTCACCTTAATTCATTTATGAAGTTGACATCACACAGTAGTTTCGTATATCTTTAAAACAGCAACTCGTGTGTGAAAAGTGAAGTCAGTGGACACGCTAGATGGGGTGGGTGAGACGCAGAAGGACAGCAGGCTCCGTGGGGCCCTTCTGCATCCTGTGCTCATGGGGGAAGTGAGTGCAGTTCCCGAAGACGCAAACGGGAAAAAGAGAAGCAGAAATAAGATAAGAAAGGGTGTGTGTGAGGGGGAGAGACAGAGGCTGCCTGGGTTCTCATGCTGGCCTGAGTCCCCCACCGCATCTTTTCACAGTGAGTTTTAAGCAGAAATCTGCTCCTGCCATTGACATGCATCTTACAGACACTATCACTTAACTCCCTGTGAGCCGATGGCACGTGGCCTGACCGCAAGGACGGAGGCCACAGCGATGGTCAGCTTTCCGTCGCTTGAGCACTTAGCTGGAGTCTGATGGAGGCACAATTACTAATTACCATCTCACTTTCTCACACCCCCGCCCGGCCCCGCCCACTCTGGCGTCGGCGCTCCTCCCTGAGAGCCCCTCCCCTCTGCGGGAGGCGGGAGCCCGGATGTTGCCGTTGTCTGGCGGTTGTCGGCAGTCCGGGCGTTAGCGGGCGCTCCAGACGCTCTTCAGATCCACTGAGTGCGGACGAGAGCGTGGAGCTGCACAGCAGCGGCGGACTGAGGAGACTGCCAGGGTAGGAGAGGCGAGGGCCGGAGCGGGGCCGAGGACAGGAGCGGCCAAGGGCGGAGGGTGAGCAGGTGCGGCCGGGCTGTGGCCTCGGGGTCGCGGGGCTGTGGCCTTCGGTCGGGGTCCTGGTGAGCCGGGGCGGCCGCGAGCGCGAGTGCAGCGGGAGACGCGGCCATCAGGGGCGGGGGCGGGAAGCGGTTCTCTCATCATCCTTACAGTTGGAGTGTCTTCTGAGTTTATTTTGATACTTGCCTTACCGGTGACTTTTGTACCTTCAGGTGTGGTGGTGGTGCATTTCAGCATCATCTGTCAGATGGAAGAGCTCTTTAGCGCTTTGTAAGAGTGGTCTGCTGTGATCAATTCTCTCAGCCTTCGTTTGTATGGGAGAGGATTTTATCCATGTTTGAAGGACACTTTTCTTGGGTACAGCACTCTCGTTTGAAAGACTTTTTGTTTTGTTTTTAAGTGCGCTGGAAGTCTGGAATTTTATTCTAGTAGGAAAAATGATCTACTTTAGAGTCACTTTGAAATGAGTAGCCAGCCTATGAGCAAATCCAAAGCAAAAACTTCAGATAAATTGACTCAGAGTTCCCAATATTTATAAGTTGTTACTTAAAACAGTGCCTGGTATATAATGAGTGTGGTGTAAGATATAGCTGTTATTAGTAGCAATAGTTAAGTATAATTTAGTATTTATCCTAAACTGATCAAAGTTGAATCATCCTCAATCTCGATGTGTTTATACTGTTGATCACTACTCAGTGAAACTGATCATTAACTCTGTGGAAAGCAGCCTTGCTTCTCACGTTCATCTTGGTTTAGTATAGTAGCCGCCTTTTTTAAGACAAGGAAAAAAATCAGTTGAATGTCTTTTTATTTTGAAATATTTATTTGCTAGTTGGTAACTTACTTTTAAAACTGTGTTTAGTTATCGAAGGAAAATATTTGTGTTTCAGGAAAGTCTTTCAGTTGTTTATACAACTTACTGTCCTGCTCAGTATACCGTGTATGAGCCAGTAATTCGACTTAAAGCTTAAAGGTCAGATGAAAACTCAGCTCTCAAAGACCCTTCAGCTCAAAAGAAGTTCAGAGCATCATATTAGAACTTCATCATCTAAAGAATCTCTAGCCTACCCAATGTAAAACTATTCAAGGCATTCTGCATGAGATTGGTGGAACTGGTATGTTTTTCTCTTTGCTAGGGTAAGAATCACTGATTCTATAGTTTTGTCTAAAGAGAACCTACTTCTTTATTATTGATAGTTTCTTTTGGACTACCAAAAAAAAAAAAAAAAAGCTGCACTCAACTATATTAAATTTTTAGCATTAAAAAAATTGCATATTAAAGATGTCATCAAACTTTCTGCCATAGATGATTATGGTTTCTTCTAATTTATGAAGACTTTTAGAAGTTTTCTATTATCCAGAAATGCTTTTAGAACAATTGAAATGTTAAATGTATGAAATTTTAAATTGCTTTTGGAAAGAAAAATGAATGCTGTAGTAATGAGATGAAAGAAATGTATTTTTAAAAATAAGGTATATATGAAAAAGAAACATTTATCTCTTAAAGCTTTCTAATGCATGGGGGAAAAAACCAAAGGTCAAAAAAATTTAAAAATTTAAGAAATTTTTATTTATTTGGGTCTGGAGTTTGTTTAAATAGGAGAAATAAAAAGTTTTACTTAGGCCATAAGTACTGTTTTAGAGTAAATCACTTAATATCTGTTCTATTTACTTATTTGAGGGCAAGGACAATGTAGGCAGGTCAATAATTATACATTGACTTTTTCAGAGATTTCTAAAATCCATAATAGCGGGCACAAACGGTTTCACTTTGGCACAAATCATTTCTCCTTCCTCAGGGTCCATATCCCTGTTTAATTAAAGCAGCCTCAATCTTCCTTTATCCTCAGAATGCCATCTTCTTTTTACCCCTAAGTATAGCTTCTGCAAACTTATCGAATTTTCACCCTGTCTCCCTAATTGGCTTTCTTTCTTTAACAGGTCCACCTTGATTAATTTTGCAATAAGGGGCATATCAATGTTTGTTGTTAGCGTTCTTATATCTTGTTAGCACTTGACCTACCATACTCTGTAAGCTGTCATCTTTTCCTCCTCTTCCTTTTGCATACTTTTTTTTTGCATGTATTATTTAGAAGAATAGATTTTCCCCTAGTGTTTTAAAATTTAAAGCTCTTTAACTCCTCATTAATATTTTGTAATCTTTTATATCATTGTACAATTTCAAAATGTATATACTTGGTTTTTCCTCTTTCATCAAGGTTTTAAATATAATTTTGTTATGATTACTGATAGTGATTGGATCCTAAGAAAATGGTTAAATTTTTATCTTACATATATTAGGATCTTGCCAATACTTAAAGTATGTTTTCACATTTAAAACTTAGAAACTTTGTATCTTTCCCTCCCCGACCTAAATAAACTTCAGTCTCCATGAAATCTTTACATGCATAGCCTGCCATTTGAGCCTAATGTCCATCATCCAGCTAAATAGGCAATCTGCAGCCTCCTAGGTGTACTATGGACTTCTAGTGCAGGCTTTTATCCCTCTCCAGGCTGTGTCCCAGCCACCCCATTATCTCTGCTTTTCCAGGATTGGGCTCTCCTACCAGACCATCTCCTCTTCTCATAGTCTTCCCTAAACCAAGCAGGTAGGGATCAGAAGTGATTTCTGTGCTCTCATGGCATTTCTTTTGTCTTATTCTTTGTCTTTTATCATGATAATGGGTGTATGTTTCTTATGTACAGTAGTTGTCAGAAAGTCTTGGCTGAATTGAAGTATGAGGCACAATACATGGTTTTTACAGGTAGGTCTTATCTCTGAGTAGACAGTAGGCCCCACAGGGGGCAAGCATCATGTCTTTTTATGAACAGTCTATTTGTTGATTGGCTATTCTACTGAAAACTTGAAACATTTTGCTGACAATTCAGATCACTGATTATAAAATGCTACTGACCTCTAATGACTTTAGTACATTATAAATGGACTAAAATGTTATTTTAGTCCATTTATAATGTACTAAAGTCATTAATGAGAATGGAATTTATGCCTCTCTCTGCTCTGTTTATCCACAATTCTTAAATTGTTACAATGTGAGTATTAAAAAATAAACTTTCATATAAACAGATTAATATTACATAAAGTTAATAATTGCACATGTTAAATTTTTACTCTCAGCAAATCAGGAGAAAAATATATCTACTTTTTTTTAGGTTGTTGAACTCAATAGCTGTGAAGAAACTCAAGCGTTAGCACTGCAAGTTATACTCTCATTACTTCAGTATAACCAACAGTACAGGACTTAGAAAACTGTGATGGACTTTCCATGATTCATCAGGTGTTGATCAAATGAAAATGTGTCGTTGGCTATCACATTTTGAAGGTATGACCTCACAAAATTTGTTCTCACAGTTTCATATGCAGTGATACTCATCTCTTCATCAAAGTCTTCCAGTAATAGTTTTGTGTTTCAGTTATTCCTGAAGTAAATGAAGGAAACTCATTAGGGTATATTTACTCAAACTAAGGTACCCTTCTGGTTCTTTTCATTATTAAATGATTACATTTTTCTTTAAAGCGTTTTAGAAAAGTAAGAACTAATGAATTCGACCTTTGTATAGGGGATCTATAAAGGAGAAATGAGAAATAATGCCATAAATATAGTTTAAGACTATCATTTATTTATTTTTTTCCGATAAGGTCATAATAAATTGGTCCTTGAATGTAAGGCCAGAGAATTTGAACTTGTATTCTAGTTAGAGGTCATTGAAAGTGTTTTGTTTGTTTTGAGCAAAGGAAAGTAAATTATTGCAGTAGGATTGAGGAATAAGAAACTAGGGGAAGTAAGACTAATTATAGTAGTCTGTAAGAGACAAAATAATAGAATCTGGACATAGTAGCAGTGGAACTGGAAAGAGGGGTAAGTGGAGAAATGGGAGGGTAGGAGGGATGGCTCTGAGATATTAGGAGGACACTGTAATGACACGTTGCATTCGAGGTGCCCTGTAGTTGTTCATAGCATAATTATCTAGCAGACGATTGGAAAGGAGGGTTGTAATGTGGGGGAGGTTACAAGGAGCTACCCATGTAGAAGTGAGCTGAAGCCCTGAGAATAGATGAGGCCACCGAAGAAAAGTGTTTAGAGAGAGAAGGAAAGAGGAAACTAAGGATAGAGCTACTGGTAACATGACTGTTTGGAGGGTGGGACAAGAAAGAAGAGTCAGTATAAGAGAAAGATGGAATAATCGGAGTTTTTAAAGAAGTAGGAAAAATGTAATGTGGTAAGAAAGCAAGCAAGAGTGAGCCTGTGAGAAAGCCGGGTAGTAAATTCAGAGTGGAAAACTGGTTGTCAACAGCCATTTTAAGAAATGTTATACATGAATGAAGTGATTGAGCAGCTGTAAAAGTCCAAATGAAATTAGATGGCTTATATCTTTGTGGTGGGCTCAGCACACTTAGTGCATAAAGTGTTGTGTGAGATTCTGGGAGCAGGGTAGTCACGAAAATGAATAGAATATGAAGAGGCCTGCAGTCTAGTCGAGGGGTGAGAGACATAAACAGATAATTGCACCTCACTGTGTGGAAAGCATAGCAAGAAGTCAACATTTCGTTTTCTGGTAGCACAGAACATGATGAGGATGGAGAGAGCCTTTCCTGGAGGAGGTGATTCTGGCTGAGTCTGAAAGGATGCTTGGAGTCCAAGGGAAGGCCTTCCAGGCAAAGGAAACACCAGGGAGCTATGAGAAGTTGGCATTGTTGAAATGTCATGTAAGAAGCTGGGCTGGAGAGCAGCCTGGGGACAAATTGTGGAGATGCTTCTAGACAAGAAGCTTGAGCTTTATCCAAGGTGGTCAGGAGGTAGCAGAAAGCCACTGGCAGGTTTTAAGCAGGAGTCAACATTTGAGAGAGAACTGTGGTAGCTGTGAGGATTTGAAAGTGACAAAGACAAGATGTCCATCAGGGATGCCATTTAGAAATCCATGATGGTAATCCAGGTGAGAGAGATGATAAAGCCTGCATTATAGCACTGTGGTAGGGATGAGAAGAGCTGAAGAAATAGGAAATAAAGTCAGTAGAACCTGGTGAGTGACTCGCCATAGATATAGGAAAGGTGGTCATTCAAAGGTGGCTCCAGTTGTGTGGTGGGGAGCGGGCTTCTGCTAAATTAAGCAGAGAACACAACAGGAGGAGTGCATTGAGGGCAGAAAGATGATGCCGATGTAGATTGGTTGCATTTGTGGTACACTGAAGAAACCAAGCCATCGAATTTACAAGTGTGAAGCTCACAGAGGAAGGTTAAACTGGGTGTATTAGTCTTGGAGTCATGTTAGACACTGAAGGGGATGTATAAAAACATAAGACACAGTCCCATCCTCGAGGACTAGACAGATGAACAGTGTCCTTGAGAAATCATAACATATAAAAAATGAACAATTAAGTGTTAAACCATAGAAATAACTAAGTACAGTTGGAATTCAAAGAAAAGTTAATGTGGCCAGTAATAATCAACAACAAAAATCTGTAATAAGAAATCAGAGTATAATAAGTCACATAAGTGCGCATTAGTATAAAGTTTGCCATATTTTTTTCCTCCTTGAACATCTTTTTGTCAAAATTTAATGTTTTTCTTTTGAAGTTATATTTTGTTTTATCCTTTTTCTGACTTTTGCTGTCTCAAAAAATTTTTTGATTCTAGATGGCAAGATTTTTCAGGAGAAAGTAAAATCAATTGTGTAGCTGAGGCACTCCAGCAGCGGAGGAAAGTCCCTGACTAACCCTGGATTTATGGAAATAAACCCATCAGGTTTTACTGCTTCACCACCTGAAGGTAAAAATAGTAATAATGAAATTACAACCCTTCCTCTTATAGTTCTGCATATTTACAGACAATTCAATTGTACATGTTTTAGCAGTATAGCAAAACCTGATATTCAGAATAAATAAATGGAAGATTAAACTTAAAAATCATAGAATATATGGAAGGGATCCATTATCACTACTTTCTGGTATCAGTAACTCACACTCAGTTTAACAAAAGATACCCAGCACAGGTCCTCAGGAGAACTTAAAAAACAGGTGAGGCTCATGCCTTCTTGCTCGGGCATACTCTGGCTCCTCTTACCATAGTCAAATTTCTTTTATTAATCTTCTGATTTACTTTTCCATTTTTTTTTAAAGTTTTTTTTGTCTTTCTCTCTTCTTACTACCTAAACCAATCATTCTAGACAACTTCACTTGCCATATGAATGAACATCCAGTACTCCAGGCTCACTTTCCTTGACTCAGGAACCACCCCCTCTCCTTATCTAGCAGTCTGCCTGCACCTGTCCTGGACTTTATCATCAGCAGGAATGCTTACAAGCACCTCTACAACTCCCATATCCCACTCTCTATTCTATCTATAGGATCTCTTTTTAAATCAAATGCATCACTCTGAAACATTTTCAAGTTCAGTCATGCCCCTATTTTTTCCATCTTTTGAATGGGATCGTTTGGCAGCTTTAGCTCTCCAGCCAAAACTCAGAAATAGCTGGAAAATCTTCTGAGCCATGGAGCTATTTTATTGCCACAAAGCCTACATTCTAAAGCAGTTCACTCAATGCCCATATAGTCTATATCAGTGCTTCTCAAATGTTAACATGCAAAAAAATCACCTGGAGAGCTTGTTAAAACACAGATTCCTGGGTCCCTCCCTTCTATATATTCACTAGGTCTAGGGTGGAGCCTGAGAGGGTGAAGTTCTTGCAGTCTCACAGGTGATGCTAATTCCGTGCTGCTGGTCTGCAGACCACACATTGAGTAGTGTATTAGTCTGTTTCTGTTGTTTATAACAAAATACCTGGAACTGGGTGATTTATAAAGAAAACAATTTATTGCTTACATTTTCAGAGGCTGGAAAGTCCCAAGTCCAGGGAACACATCTGATGAAGGCTTTCTTTGGTGGGGACTTCAGTGATGGCAGAGTATCACATTGCAACATGGAGGAACAGAGAGAGCAGAAACAGACTCTCCTTTTAAAACCCTCAGAGCCATGCCCCTGACCACCATTATTAATCCATTCACTACGGCTTGGTCCTACAGTCTAATCACCTCGTTCAGGGCTCCACCGTTCAATTACAATAATAGGATTTCCCACCCTCTTAACAGTCACTGTGGGGGCCAAGTTTCTAATACAAAAATCTTAGGGGACACAATTCAAGCTTCAGTGAGTTTGGGGGGGACATAATTCAATCCATTACAAGTAGCATACACTACCCTTACAAACAAGGAGAGTGGTTTTTCTGTTCTCCTCCTCTATAGACTATAAGAAGTAACATTGGAGAGCTGTAGCAAGAAGAGAGAAAACTGTTGCATCTCACTAATAGCAGCAAGAAGTAGGTACAGAAATGGAGGAGAGAGAACTGTCTAGAGCCATTTAGTCTCATAATAAGAACAAGCACTACCATTTATCGAGACCCTGTCATATGCCAGGCAGTATGCATGTGCATCAGAAATATGCTCTCACTTAATCCTTAAAGCAACACTGCAAAGTGGATATTATGAACCCTCATTTTACATTTCTAGAAACTAACCCTCATTTGGTACAAGTACGTGATTTAGCTAAGGCTGCATCACTAACAGCACTGTCATTTGCATCTAGTCACATCTAGTTGCAAGCCCACACTCTTTCCCCTCATCAAACTGCATCCTGGTGACTGCAGCCTGAAGTAAACTAAGCTTCACTTTATTCACTTAATTTCACCACAATTGAACCATTAATCCTAATGCCTTTGAATCATTCAGTCAATATTTTGTTAAGGAGACAAGAAAAGACATTTGTTTTTGGAATATTGTAAAAGAAAGTGGTTAAAAAAGAAATAGTTTGGCATTGAAGGATTTTAAGCATTAGTTGCTAGGAAAATTAAACTGTGGATTCTTTAACAGTGCTAGATAAATGTGCTCTTGCTGTGGTTGTGACTTATCATGCAGAAGAGAAGTGGTCCCACTTAAAAATCTACCTTCTACCTGCTCTTACCAGGAAACAATTCCTCCAGTATTATACCCCAACAGATGGCCGCCCACATGCTGTTTTCCAGAAGCAGCATTTCCCTCCTCTTCACCACTGATGCAGCCATAAAAACTGATTGGAAGTTTGGGTCATAATATTGACAAATTACAAAATATTGCAGATACTTTTGTTACTACCCAACTAGAGAAACAGAATGCTCTGGGGAGTTTCAACACACTGAAAAAAGGCAAAGAGGATACATTCATCAGTAGCTGTGAGTCTGTAAAAATCTTCTGTGAAATGGAAGCTGTCCTCTTAGCCCAAGTGTCTGTCGATGGTGTCCCAAAAGGAACACTGGGATTTCCAGTAGTCAAAGTAGATCATAAAGAGTTGAGAGCAGAACCCAGATCAGACAATGACAGTCCTGGGGATGAGTTTTGCCCTCGCTGACCAGATTACCTAAAGGGACTGGCCTCATTCCAGCAAAGCCACAGCACTATTGCAAGCTTTGGGCTAGCCTTTCCTTTGCAGAATGGATCTGCAGCTGTTGGCCATTGGCCAAGTCTTGTTGATAGGAATGCTGACAACTGGGAAAACTTTGCCTTTTCTCTTGGTTATGAGCCCAGCCACAACCAAACTGTAAGTTCTGACAGGTACTCATGTGTTCTTGTGCGCCCTCCCCTTTGTTCTGCTGTTCTCTGAAGAATCTCTAAACTTCCAGAAATGTCTTCATTATGCTACTTCTTACGTATAAGTAAGTGTCTTCATTATGCTACTTCGTAATACTTTCAACATATATATTGATAACACACAGAAAGGTGCTTTTCTCCTTGTTTTAATACTGGGCAATATTGAATTCCATATTTAACCAAAAGTTAAACCATAAATAGCTCTCAAAGAAGAAATTTCTTGTGGTTTATTTAATGCCTCCTAGTTATTAGAGAAAAAGTTTTTGTTCAGGGAAATGATAAGATTTGTTGTTTCCAGTAGCATCTCAAGTAGCACTGTCTGGTGCAACTTTCTGTGATGATGAAGTGTTTTGTCTGTGCTTTCCAGTACAGTAGACACTAGCCATATGTGCTACTGAATGTTTGGAATGTGGCTAGTGGAATGAGGAACTGAATTTTTATTTAATTTTAAATAGTTTAGATAGCTATTTAAACAGGTAGAACAGAATAGTGTTTAGTAGACTATATGACCAAAAAAGATCAGTGATAAAAAGTTGTGGTTACTTTTTTAATTACAGTTAAATTAGAAAGTGTCTCTTATTTGAACATCTGTTTCACGTCTGAAAATTATTTCTCCTTAGCACAGTTCCTAAGGTAATTCATGTACTTTTCTCACTTATATTGGGTTCTATTTTAGTGTAACTGAAAACTGTTTGGTACCTATGTGCTGTGGGTTATATGAACTATTAAATGGAGTTCTTATCCTGCCTGATATTATGCTTGACGATTAGAAGAACAAGCTTATTCAAACAGATACACTTTTAGTCCTTGTTAACCACCCATCACCAGCTATACAACATGGAGTTATACTAAATGAGTTTTGTTTTCATTCAGAAAAATAAATGTATGTGTTAATTAAAATTTGAATATGTATGTTAAAGTAGACCTAAAGCTTTATTTTATACTTAGGAAAAATGAACTAATGTAGTTTGTTACTTCTTACTCATGCTTTTGTGTGTATTATAATTTAATTTTAAATCCTCCTTTTTATATTGATTCTTATCAATGTTTTTTAAAACTACCAATAAATTCACATACATGAACCCTTAGTAAGTCTGTTTTACAAAAATTACAAGGAACACATGATTCACTGGAGATCTCTCTTACAGTGTAGTATCAAACTTTAGGCATTTACTTCAGATCTTAGTTCAGATGTCACCTTTTCAGAGACCTTCCCTGATCACCTTATCAAAATCACTTCCTGTAGCCCTACTCCTTATTTGTATTCTATGACCGCATCCTATTTATGTTTTGTAGTTATGTTTCTTTTTTTTTTTTTTTTCCTTTTTGTCTTTTTTTGTGACCGGCAACGGATCGCAACCCTCAGTGTTGTGCCTATACCGGACCGGGACCGGCAACGGGATCGCAACCCTCGGTGTTGCTCCCGCACCTTGCTCAGCCAGTGAGCGGCCGGTCTGTATGTGGGATCCGAACCCTCGGCGGGAGCGCTGCCGCGCTTCCCAAGCGGCGCACTGTAGCAGTGCGCCACCGGGCCGGCCCGTAGTTATGTTTCAATTTATCCGTATACTTTTTTTTTAATCTCCCACTCTGAAATATAAGCTGCATGAGGGTAAGCATCTTGTGTCTAGTATACTAAGAATATGGTTGAATGAATGAATCTTTGATATGAAAGATTTCCACAGAAAACAATCCAGTATTGAAATGGGCTTTTAAAGATTCTCATTTTCTTTAGTTTGTCTGGATGTAGTATTGTTTAATCACTTGCAGTTCATCCCAGTATTAGCTCCCATTTCATGTGCAAGGCACTGGGCTAGTTGCTATACGGGATATAAAGAGGAGTAATATAAGCCACTGCATTCAAAGAGTTTATGTTTTAATTGGGGAGACAGTCATGTACACAACTAAGTAAAAAAGTTTAAGGAATTCTGTGATGAGTGCTGCAGTGGCAGTATTAATAAAGAAGAACAAGAGCATGGGGGAAATTATTCTGAAGGGGGGAAATAGGGAAGGATTCATGCAGAGGGTGTACTTTGTATTATACTGTAAACTTAGAAAGCTTTCTAAGTGGGGAAGTAAATAGATGTGTGTTTGGGGAAGAGAAGTCTATCACCACTGTGAGGGAGTGATCAAAGGGGAGAGAGAATGGGAGTG